TCCCCCTCTTACAACTCTTCCCGAGCGAGCGCAGGCAAGAACCAAGCAGCTACAGCCCCAGGCTTTCACAGCCTTAAGGCCGCAGACCGCAGTCGCCCGCACTCAAGAGAGCACCTCGCACAGAAAGTCCCCTCAACCCAGGTGATCGCGACGACCTCTGGCTCGGCAACCATCTGCTCTTTCTTTCGATCGAGCTCATGGAAGCGGTCCTGCAAACCGGTGGAGATGTTTCCCTCGAGAACCCGGCCGATAGCTTCATGTGGCTTGTTCCGCCCGTCCTGAACCTCATCGCCAAGTTCGCGCTGCAGTTCACCTACTTGGATCAATGCGAGTTTGGTGCCAGCTCTAAGAAGCCCACGCGCTTTCTGATATCCCATGCAGCGTGTGGGCAGGGCATGCGTACCTGCTCGCAACGCCATAAGCACAAGAAGCTGCTTGGAACAACCTTTTGGCATGGCCGATGGGTCTGCTCCACTAAAGCGGCTCAGGTCTACCCCCAGCCGCTTTGTCGAACGTTAGCACGCGCGGTATGTCACATACATAGCCGCTCGTGCCCTCAGTTCTGTCGCAGCTTCGCGCTGGTGGTGCCCGCAGCCGATCGGAAGCGCGCACTGGGCCAGGCCGCGAATTGGAAGTTGCATCGTCAGGCCCAGGGCGCCGCTCTCGCACAGGCAGCGGGCTACCAGCTCAAGAGGGGGGCTGTAAAGCCCCTGCTGGATTGCGAGGTTGAGCCTGGCGAAGCGATCGAGTGGGCACTCAAGGTCGACCACCCGTTCTCCGTGCCGCCCCCGCTCTCCCAGCAGCTCCTTGACAACATTCAACTGGTTACAACGCAAGGGGCAGTGCTGAACTCCGCTCGCCGTCGAGATCTGGATTTCTGGAAACAGCAAGCCGAGCTCCTGCTGCCGCACACTGCGAGCATGATCGATTCGCTCCCAGATCCTGCTCTTCGTCGCCTCCTTCGTGGACGAGCCGATGGGCAGCCTTGCCAATTGGGAACGACTTGCCACGTCGCGCTGTACAAGGCTCTGTTGCTTCGGGCAGGCTCGCTCGACAAAGACCTGCCGAAGCTCTTGCTGCATGGTTTTCCGATCGTGGGACCTATCTCGAAATCCGGTCGTTGGCCGGCTTATGAGAAGCAGCAGACGGTCCTCTCCGTTGAGCATGCTCTGGCTCGGGCCTGGGAAATTCGGGCTAAGATCCTTAAGCGGGTTCGGGCTGTGCCAGTTTCCGACGAGTTAAGGTCCATTTGGAAAGCCTCTCTTGAAGATGTTGCAGACGGCTCTTGCCTTGGCCCCTTCGCGACCGAGGCAGAGGTCTCTGCGTGTGTAGGGGCAGACGACTGGATCCCGACCCAGCGGTTCGCAGTCGTGCAGAAGAACAAAGTCCGCGGTTGTGATAGTGCTACCTCCAACCTCATCAACCAGATCACACAGATCGTCGAGAAGCTCCAGCTCCCGGGAACGGACCTGAATGTTGCGGCTCTTCGCGAACTGCGTTCCCGCTCGGGGGAGGCCAAGCTGAAAGGTTGGGTCCTCGACGAGAAGAAGGCTTACCGTCAGGTTCCGATTGCTCCGGAGCACAGGAAGTTCAGCGTGATCTGCCTCAAAGATCCGGACGATGGTCAGGCAAAGTTCTTCGTCATGGTGGGCCACTCCTTTGGGCTGGTCTCGGCGGTCTACAACTATAATCGACGTTCGGCTGCGATCAATGAGATCCTGGAGAAGCTCTTCGGCCTCGTTGCCTTTAACTTTTATGACGACAAGTACGGCTTCGAGACGGAAGAGACGATCGACTCCGCCCATGAGGTTGCGATCGGGATCCACTGGTTGCTGGGCGCGGGCTTCGAGCAGAAGAAGTTGCAGAAGACCTCGAAGCCGATCGTGCTCGGGGTCACCTACGATCTCGACCGCCTGGAGCTAGCGATCAAGGACGACAGGAAAGAAGAGCTAGTCTCGTTGATCGATTCGATCCTGGAGTCGGGCTCTCTGGACCCAGGATCGGCTGGCAAGCTCAAGGGCAAGTTGATGTTCGGAGCGAGCCATCTCTGGGGCAAAGTGGGAAGGGCTTTCCTGAGGCCCCTCTCCGAACGTCAATACTCCCGAGATCGAAGTGATCTGCGTTCTTCATTGTCGGCTCCGTTGAGGCGGTCGCTCGTGCAATGGAAGAAGTTGATTCGCGAAGGGCCACCCAGGCAGATCGCTTTGCGAACTTCAAAGCCCGCTGACGTGGTCATCTTCACGGACGGGTTCGAGCCGGACCTCAGAAAGAAGGAAAATGGCCCGGAGAGAATAGGGGCTGTTTGCTTCGATCGGAGAGGAGCGGCGCCGATCCAGTTCTCCGAAGCGATCCCAGAGGCGGTCATTCGGAAGTGGGTCCCGAGGGCGACTCAGATCTTTCCCGTTGAGCTGATCGCCCCGGTGCTGGCGCTGGCTACGTTCGCAGATCAAGTGAGGGGCAGAGACGTAGTTATGCTGATAGACTCCGAAGGAGTGGAAGCAGCACTGATCAAGGGATACTCGTCCCATGAAGACCTCGTCGAGATCATCGAAGTCTTTTGGGATCTTGCATTCGAACTTCGAGCCAATGTTTTCATCGATCGTGTTTCAACGGATGGAAATCCGGCTGATTGGCCGTCCAGAAACAACCTCGTTCGTGGTACTGAAGCAGGCTGGCAGACGGCTCAGTGCTGTTGGCCTCCTGCTCTTATGCCTGGCTTTCGTGCCGTTTGAGTGGGAAGCTCTGGGCCTGGGACTTTCTGTGCGAGGTGCTCTCTTGAGTGCGGGCGACTGCGGTCTGCGGCCTTAAGGCTGTGAAAGCCTGGGGCTGTAGCTGCTTGGTTCTTGCCTGCGCTCGCTCGGGAAGAGTTGTAAGAGGGGGAGCTCAGATGGTCCCGTGCCATGATCGGCACAGGGCGAGCAGATGTCGCTTTGGATGTTCAATTTTCCTCTGCTCGACCCCATGCCTGAGCAGGAAAAAGGAAGGGCTCCCTTCGGTGCTTGTCCTGCTCTGTGTGCAAGTGATTAAGCGAGAGCTCGCTCGAGCGTACCTGCGTTGCTAAGTGGTTCCCAAACCACCGGTTAGGTTGGTCTGGGGTTTGGGTCTCACTTTGGTCTGCAGGTTTTCACTTGCTTTTCGGTCTGCTCGAGTTTGCGGATCCGTCGCCATTTTGGCAAAAGGCGATCGACCCCGCAGACAAGAGCTGATCGGCTGTTTTTGGCCCACCCACCCAACCCTGCATGGCTGCAGCGCGCTCGCAGGATAATGCTACGCTGGCGCGGCTCTGGCCACTGTCCTTTGACTGAAGCATCTCAAACAGAAACATCCAAAAACCCTCCCCAAGCCCAAAGCCTTAAATAGGTTTCAACAATTCTAGACTCTAGACTTCAGTCAATAAGACAGAACCCGGGACCGAATGGACTGAATCCGCAAATTGCCGACATGCTTGAGATACTGCGCCAAGGAACATCGCCAAAGCGGCAGGAGCGGCACGCCATATTCTGAGTGAAGTTCGTGGGTCCAAACAGGCTTTGTGCTTCAGATTTGGACTGCCCTGGGGTGCTGAGAGATACTTCAGGCTTGTTGTGGCTGGAGCAATTAGTAGTATGAGATAGCTCACGAGTACGACAAATACTCCCGAGGTCAAGGCATCAATGCCACCACCTGAGCCACAGAGACATCAGGCAAAGAACATCAGACTGCGCTGGCAAAACTGTGGCCCGAGAGGTTCCGAGAGGTTCCGAGAGGACTACATTGAACCATCTCAAGTTACGCTCAACCAAAGCCGCTAGCCATACCCGCCGGTCTTTCACAACTGCTTCCCTGCAGCTCCTCTAAACGTGCCAAATGCTCAAGTCTCTGTCTCTCCTTGTCGGAGATCCCATCTGGCCATATGCAGGAACTTCAATTGGGCAGCACAAAGTCTTATCGGGAACGTAACCCGCACCCTTGGGCCCTTGCAAGAGACCAACCCTCTCCACTGGTGCTGCTTGCGAACCTGGCTGGTGACAAGCCGGACATTCCGCATCGGAATGCCCGGTTACCCCTGAAGGGCTCACCACATCCTGATACTACAACACGGAGGCTGTCGCAGGCATCACCACTCCCTGCTGTTCGAATGACTCAAGGCAAGCCTCATCTGCCATCGCAACGACACGCTTCAAGACCGCTGCAGAAGATGAGTACTTTTTTCGTGGTTGTGTCCAAGCTGGCAATACAGACGGAGGTCTCTCTACTCGGGGACTTGCTACGATGGCCAGCATACCATGTGTGCTGCGTGGCTTCGCGAGCTGACAGAGATTGCACATTGATGTAATCCGTGCCAACATCGGCAAATGCGAAACTGTCGCAAAGCGACCACTGCTGCCCCAAATCAAATCTGCCTGGGCCCATACTTCGCTGTGGGCCCGCGTCCACTCCACCACCTGACATGTGCGCCACCACCCGACTTCAGGGCTTAACTGGGTGGGGAGGGGGCTGGACAGAACACGAAAGTGAAGGAGTCCACTTGCAGGCGTAAAGTATCTGGCATTATTCGAGAGACGCGTGAAATCCCATCGCTCGCCCGGCTCACCCAGGCTAGTCACTCAAGTCTCTCGAACTCGAGCAATCAAGAGCTGCAACTTCAACGCGACAAAACAAATCCTGAGCCCTAAACTGAGGTAGGGTGAACACCAAAAAGGGGTGTTCATCTGCACAGAAATAGAAATTCAGCCGAACACTAGGGCGGGTGCCCGGGGGTCCCCGTAGCACACGGAATTGGAAAAAACGCATTGGCTCGGCGAACATAGCTGGTTGGTCTACACTCCAACTGCTATAGGGGGTAGGGTAGAAGCATGCAACAACCGAGGTTTCGGAGTTCAGGACGTGGGCTACGGAGGATACCCGAAAACATGAGTGGAGGAGATAGGCCGCGGAATGACACAGAAGCACCAGTGAAGCACCCCTCGGACTGCAGAGGTCCGGGACACCCAAGCCAAAGGGCCAGACCCTCAAATCCCTCAAACTGGGGTCGAAAAGAGTCGAGAAGAAGCTCCAAGGCATGTGAAGGCTTGCCCCCCTTTATTAGCAGAAGCCCTACTGTTTTCCTCATTCCCGAAAGCCAAGCCATCAAGAACCCAACGCCCAGCTGAGAAAAAAATATGAAACAACACTCCCCACCGATCCTTTGCGGCCTCACCGACCACCACCGAGGTGTCGTCCATCTTGCCTCCCAGACCAATTGGTGTGTCGGGGAGGCCATGGCGCCCCACCTTGCGCACAGCAGTCACCAAAGGGGGGATTTGGGGGGGGGTTTTGGGGATGTTTTACACGGAAAATGGACCACGGACCTTTGACTGTTTAAGCAAGTTTAAGCACTTCGGCCCGGCCTGAGCCCCTGAACCCCTGAGCCCCCTGAACCCCCTGCATATCAAAAGTCCCTCCAAGTCCCTCTCCCAGCCCTAACTCTGCGGCCTCGGACTTGCCATGGGCTTCGTCCACGAGCCGCTTGGCCAAGAGGCTTAGGAGGCTCGGTTGGGTGGCCACCTGATCAGAACAAGGGGCCTTTTTGGGTTTGGTAGGGAGGCGCCCTGGGAACAAAGCAGTCGACAAGTGGACGGATGTGACATGCTTCAGGTTCCTCGGCTTATGTGGCCATTGTTGGATCTTTTGTGCATGAAGCTCTCGTCTTCCGCAAGGCTTGGAAGAAGAGCCATCTTAGACCCGGGCGAAGCCACCAGCTTTGGGTGCAGGCAAGGACTCGTTCACAATGTCCACGATCTGCAGAGATCGCAAAGGGGGCGGTGATGCGCTGATCTGCACCATCTCTGAAAGTAAAGCTGCCATCTCAGTGCAGACATGGCAGGCTCTCAGTGGGAGAATTGCGCAGGCCACATCCCTTGCTCGCAGCCATAGTGACAACCCCTTTCTTCTTATCAAGGCCTCTTCCAGGAAGAGGTTGTCGAAAATCCCATCGCTTCCCAGAATCTTGGCGCAAAAAGCACTCGATTGCACAAGGGCAGCCACCCTGAGCCCTTGAGCTGGGCTGCGATGATGTCGCCCTCGTAGGCAGAGACGCAATGAACAGCGCTGCCACGCTCGATGACCTGGGAGCCAAGAAACTGTAAAGTTCTCTTAACCGAAGTTGGCCCTATGCCCCGGCCTCAAGCGCCAGCTCCTCGTCGAAATCGGGATCTACCCGATCCTGGCAGATTGTTGAGACTTCGGATGACGCGTGTGCAGGGTTGCTGAAGGTATAGCAGCTGCATTAAGTGGTCTCCTTGCACTGCAATCTCAAAGCGATACCTACGGCATGTGCATGTTCGTTTGTTCTTGCGCCGCCCTCGGAGGTACTGTCGGCTCTGTGCATCGCAACTCTCGTCGCCAGTCTTTCTTATTCTCGGCATCTGCTTAGGCCACTATTCTGTTGGCAGCTTTATCTTGCAAAAATGTGGCAGCAACGATCTCAGAGTCGCAGTCCCAATCTGCTGCACCATCTACTGCAGAATGCTGCAGACCACGGGCTTGCAAACTGCCGGCAAGGCATCGACACGCGCTAATTGCAGCGGCGTCTGTGACTCGGCCATCAGATTGAGTGACTCTTTCTGAAGGCATGTGCTGAAGACTTGTCACAGCCAATTCTCTTGCGAAAACCTGCAGAAGCCGACAACATTCACAGCCAGAACTTGAAGACTTCAAACCTGGGAGGCTTCGAGCTGTGTGGGGCCCGGGCGTGGCCATCGATCCGCTGCATCTCTGTGTGGAAAACCTGCAGCGTCAATTTGTGTGCGTCCTCAAACTGAGAGCCACTTCACATCAGGACAAGACTGGCAACCAGCGCTAGCAGCCCATATGCTTTGAAAGGAATGCCCCTCAAGCACAAAAATCAAAGGTCCCGGACAGCTTGCAAGGGAGATTGCCGACCTTGGCAGAAAATACCCTTCAAGCGGCCAGTGGACAAGCTGTTGTCTTCTCAATGCAAGATCTGGACTACGTCCTGTCCCAGTGGCCGTCGAGTCTGCGCAGCATCAACAGCTCACAGTCACCTGCTCCAAAACTGCAGGTTTGGAATTCGATTCCAAAGAAGAGCTTGGCAAACTGCAAAGTGTTCTGATGATTCTGTGAACGTCGGTCAGGTCAAATCACAGCTGTTTGAAAGCTCTTCAGTCCACCAGGGTCCCACAGCACCCTTTTCGGGCGCCTATCGTCAGCACTGCAACCATGGGGTGCAGCCTGAGGGGTTGTCATTTCCCAGTTGTACTGCTCACGAGGATGAAACCTAGAACACTTGGGGCATCTTGGGGCCCTGGCTTCCCATGGATCTTCGTGCTGTTGTCCAGAACCTGAGACCCATAGAGCACAAAGTTCCCCCATGCTGACACGAACCGAGAGGGGCTCGGATCGCGCGGGCTCTGAACTCGAATTGTAGGGGATGCTGTCTTTGGCTTGAATTGACATGTTCGAACTAGAACCTTCTCATCTCTCATCCAGATTCGTGCCGTTTCGCTTGTAAGCGCAGCACCGCAAGCAGGATAGTGGTGGAACCCATGCCTCACGAAAAGTCGAACACACAAGTCCTTTGTCCCCGATGCAGCGCGACACGTTGCCACCCACTCAACCTCTTTAATGACGCGAGAACGGTTCTTGCAAAGACTGTTGTGGAGAATAGTGAAGAGAGACACAGGCAATTAACGAAAACCCCCGGTCTTGCACATCTGCGCAAGACAACGAGCCCCGCATCTCCTTCTGAGAAAATCTCTTACAAATCTTCAGCAGAACCCAATCTGACACGCAAAAGGCACACGAGGCTCTCGATGCAGCCGAGGAGGACACTTTCGGTCTCTTCGTAGGCCTCCTGGCAGGTAACGACTAGCCAGGCCCTCGGCTTCATGCCTTTCCACACTGCAATGCTACCAGAGCACTTCGACACGAAACAATCTGAGTACATGTAGAGCTGGCAAGGAGGCCTTCAGCAAAGACACCGGGCCCTGATAGGCTTCCTGCGCAGAGTCTTTCCGCATGCGTGGAGCACGCCTAAGCCGGCACACCTTAGGTCCTGCGGATTCACTTGCCGGTCCGGGATGAGCTGGTTCATACCCAGGTCCTTCACCGTCGCCCAAAGACCAGAACTTCGGGACACAGACGCGCTTTCTGAACTTCATCATCGACACTGCTCGAAGGAAAATTCCAAACACTCGAGACACACATCCTCGCAAATCCGCAGCAGCTCCTTGGCTTCGGGAGAAAGAAAGTGTGGGTTTCAAGGTGGCCTCATCATATCAAATCATAATCGTTTTCTTCTTCTCTCCTACAGTGTCGTTTCTCGGAACGGGCTGGTTGGGAACCCAGTGAATCTCTTTGCAATCATTCTCGGAGGTCCTAACGGTTCACGGCCACCTGCCATCTAGGCAGCGTGCAGGGATGCCCTCTGAACAAGGAGTCCCACACAACAAAGGAAAGGAGCCACGAACAAAAAACTGTCATGTGCTGTTGCTTCAGGACCCGTGCACGGATTCAGAATCTGCTCACTCAAACTGCACAGGCCCCGAACATCTTGAAACGGATGCCAGCCCTGACCATGCCCCGAAACGTTGAGCCCTTCAAAACCTCTTCGGCCACAAACAGCCCAGGGGCTCGGGGGAGCTGCGAGGCGTCCATCCCGAACTCCTCCAGCTGCGACCTGCCAAGCTCCGATCGGAAAGGGCGCGGCTTTAGGCTTCGGTGGAGCTGTCGCCATACGAAGCTCGACATTCGTTTGAAAATGTTTGAAATTCCTGTCTGCGGGAGTTAGGCGTTCCGGACTCAATCGAAGAATCTGTCACGCTTCACTCCTCAGCTGGTAAGGCTCGCGTGCCGAAATCAAACGTACTCGTACGGCCGCGTGCTGTGGATCAGAAGGCGTATAGAGAGGGCCCTCTAGATGTAAGTATGTCTTGTTACCTTGACTCGTGAACTCTCACGAGGAATCACTGCGTGAGCCAACTGGAGCAAGAAGCTGATTGCTGTACCAAAGCCATCCAACCAAGCCCAACCGAGGATGCGCAGGCCCAAACAGAATACAAAGCCCTTGTCATCCTGAGGCTACTTGGGATTCTTCCGAGGTCGCCACACTCCATCTGCCACGCCTAGGATCATCGGGGATGCCAGGGTTGCATCAGCGTCCTGCAGGGCTCTGAGCCAACAGCGTCCAACATCTGCGACTGTTCTGACGTGTCTGCCCAAAGAGTAGGTCGTTTCTCACTTGCACATGTCCCCTTTCATTCGTTTCGAAAATTCTGGATCGTTGTGGAGAACCGCACTTGGGCCCGGGTGTGAAGGAGTTTCCCCACCATTCCCCCGAGTTCCCCGCAGCCCCCCCCCCCAGTTTCCAGATTTTCGGGCCGGGGCCGTGGCAGTCGACACGTGTGCGCGCTGAGCATCTGGATCTGAACTCTCAGGGCACGTCTGGGCCGAAAGAAGAGGCCGCCTTGTGACCCAGGCTCAGCTTCTTCGGATGTGTGCGCTGGTAGGTCTTGGCCTCTCCAGAGTGCTGTAGGACTTGAGGGCTTTAGGGCTTCGGATTGTAGTTTTTGGGTTTGGGGCGAAAAACAGGGTTCTGGAGCCATGGTGAGCTGAGCTTGGCGCGCTGAAGCACAGGGGCTTGTTCTTCTGGTATTCCTGCGCGAAAGGTCCAAAGGCATCACTGCAGAAAACACTGATTCGGAGTAGAAGGACGGGCTTAGGAGCAATGGAAAATTTCAGCGTTCGGGGTTCTTGCAAGCTAAACAGCCCCGTGTACTAGTTCGTTGAACCTGGTTCAGCCGCACCTCATTGAAATGCTGGTCTCGGCGAGAGAACTCGCTAAGAAGCGTCCGCTGCTTCTCAGTGCCTTGCGAGATGCTAGGGATGAAAGGCCCTGTAGGGGAACTTGAGCAAGATCCGAGTCTAGTTCACACAGCTGGCATCGAGCGCCGGATGCGCCGGACCGAGTGACTTTTGCAGGCGTGGGGTGTTTGCCATAGTCTGAAAGCTGTACACTTGGCTGATCTTCCCAGTGGCACAAAACGCAAACAAAAGAGGTTTAGGGCCTAGGGATACGGGGATGAACGGTGCTTGTCCCTCGGGTGTCCGGATGCACCAAGGGTGGTTCCAGATGTGGCTGGTGATACTTGCCGCGCACTTCGGCGGCGAATTAAAGGCCGAATGGCTCTCTCTGAAAACCCAGCTCTATCATGCTGAATCATGCTCCGAGGCTGCCATGACCGTGTGCAGACACACCGCGCCCCTGAAGCTTTGGAGCATACACAGGGCTTCCACAGCGCTTTAACCAAAAAAAACTGCAGTCGGTCGACAGCCTGGGCCTACGCAAATTCTCGCACATCCCAGCGCTGTAAAGCAACATGGCTTGGTGCAAACAGCTGAGATCAAGTACCTTGAGCCTGGATCAACAAGTTGAACGTAAATCAAGCTCTTTGGCTCGCCAGGATGCAGACATGTCAAAATATGAAGTGCAAGTCTGCTAACACTACGAGGCGTGCTCGCAATCCGCAGCATAGCTGGACGACTTGCGGCCGCGAGAAAAAGCGACTGAGTGACTTTGGCAGGGTTTTGCCAAACGTCATGCTGATCATGCTGGTGGCGCAGAGGCCGCTTTCTCAGCATGCCCCACGTACGCCCTCTAGCAAAGGAGGAAGGTCACAATGCGGCTGCTCCTTCAGAGCCCAAACTGAAACGCTAAGACCATACAATGCCATAAGCCCTCATGCTCTTCAGCCTTCAACATCTCACCGTCCCATCTTTCTTCTCGTCATACCTGCCCTTACGTGCCCGTTGCCCTCCTGCATCTTCACACCTTCGCGTACAGCGCAAGCCGGGCGATCCTGCGACAGGTCGAGAGCCCCCTGAACATCAAAAAGGGTCTTTTTTTGCAGAAGACCCCTCTCTCTGAGAGGCACATGCATGGTCGCAGCCAAATGTGTGAAAGCTCTGGAACCTTTGTAGCTACCGAGCACCCGCAGGTCCCCAGGGCCTACCAGCCGTCTTGCTGTAGCCCACCCATTGCCTCCGTGCGACACATCGCGATGCAAGTCCAACGGGTCCAGCGGCCGCTATCTCTGAGGCCGCAACTCCATGGAAACAGAAAGACCGGCGTCCACCTACACATGTCATGTGTGTCATGTAGACTCCAAGCTGAGCAAAGGCAAAGGTCATGGTTTCCATTCAAGCGTATCAAGAGTATCAAATTGCACTGAAGGAGCCCGTGGGGAACATAAACCACGAGAAGAAATCCCGGACAGCCCAGCATAGCCCAGCCATAACGGTGTCGATGATGCCCTCGGACCCACGCTCCAAGGTGTCGGATCCACCTGCAAAGTGCACTTGGCGTGAGCGCTGCAGGGTCTTGTACCCTAAAGCGTACCGGGCCCCAAATGGCCTTTCACCCTTTAGTGACGTTAGTGTGTAAGCCGTTCAAGAATCGATGGGCTCATCTGGGTTTATGACACAGGTAACTCGAGCAATGCAGAAACCAAAGAAAAAGAGGAATCGAGGATCTTGAACAGCATCGTGAAGCCTCAAAGCTGCACACGCTTTGGTCCTGAAAACGAGATGCACACTTCAGTGAGACCCGGCACCGACGCCTTTTTTTGAAGTTTCGTCTGCCAGCCGACGTGGTGTCGCCCAAGAGTTCCCCTGGCCCCTGACCTCAGCCTGTTCAGGTGCCTTGAAAAAGGGCCTCATAAGATCCTCGCCTGCCTACCAACCCGTACAAGTGTCCAGGGGAGGTCTGGGAATCCGGTTTCAGGACCGCTTCGGCAAGAAATGCCCTCTTGAAGTATTCGTGGCCTGGCATGGCTCGATAGCAGCCAACTTTCGCATGCGGAGGAGGTGGTGGCGAGACGATGCATGTATAGCAAAGAGTGGGTTTGGCCTCTTCCCTTCCGAAAGGCAAGAGAACAAAGAGCTGGAAAAACCAGACTACCTTGCCAACAATCAACTGCTCAGCACAGAACAGGAATGGACGCGCCTACGTTTTGCAACAGCTGGAAGAGGCCAGTTCGGCAGTCCTGAAAACTGGTGTGGCGTGCCTCAGGCCCTAAACTCCCCCCTCAACCTGAAACCCTAAACCCGAACCTTAAACACTGATCCCTAAGCCCTAAGTGTTCATCGCGGTCCTCGGAGCTGATGTTATCACCGCCCCCGGACAGCCGCAAGAAGGACTGCAGCAGCTTGCAGAAGCCAGCTGTCACTATAAGTGCCTCTCCTCTTCTGCCTATCCCCCAACTGTGATCAAGGGGCTTTGTAACCTTGGTGCAAGAAAGCCAGCGGTCTCATGAGCATTCCTCTCCGGTCGCTTTTCCCCATCTTGCCTCCAGCGCCTCGGACTCATTCACTGGGTTCATGCGCAGCAACATCACAAAAGCATCGCGATCGATGGCGAAGGCCTGACAGGCGCTCTACGCTTCAAGACAAGAGGCGCTGGAGATGTTCTGAAGGCTTCTTGGGCATGCCTTTGAGAAGGGCTTCAAAGTGATCCTGTCTGCATACCCATGTGGTTCTGGCCTCCGAACCACAACCACAAGAAGCGAAACTGGGTGGGCCATTGGGCTGCTTACCCGAAGGTTTAAGGTTGAAGGGTGACATGGACACTCAAGCTTTCCTAAATACGGACTATGCGTATCCTGTGCCATCCACCAAACTCCGGGCGCTTTGCATGAGCCCTCCGAATGGGCCAAGATTCGTACAAGCCGACGCTGAACACATCGTTCGCTGTGGTTGTGGGGTTTGGGTTACAGGTCTCGGATGTAGAGCAAAAACGTCTGTTCAGGCCTCGTTGGTAGATGCGATCTTCAGGAGCTCCGTATCGATGTCTGACACCGCACCTATGCGCTGGTCACCCACATGAAGACACTTTGAATCAGCAGCCAGTCCCACTCTGCAAGAATGCAAACCCATGTGCACATGTGGATGAGCTCGTGACTGTTAGTCTCAATGAAGCTCCGCAACTGGTTGTGGTCGGGTTGAAGGGCCTCCTGCGACACGACGGGCAGAGGACATGTGTCAAAATTTTCTGCAGGTGTCATCATGGGCTCGCTCTCTGTCAAAGCGTTCACTGTCCGACAAGGATCTCCATCGAAAGTTTGGAGCAATTCTGGGACCTTGAATGCATGCGAACGTCCTGGGTAGGAAATGTGCACAGCTCGAGAGCTCAACGATGTCGCAGACATGTCTGTGCATGTGTCTTGCTTTTCCCTCAATGAACCAACCTCGAAATCAAGAGAAAAGAGCAATGTCTGTTTTGTGTGGGTTGCCCTGCTGCTGAGACAAAAAGTCGCGTTTCTTTTGTACTTGCACGCTTGCTGGGCAAACGTGCTTAACCGGCATGGAATGTGCCACTCAAGGCAGGAAAAGGCCGAGGTCGGTCCAATAAGGGGGCCGCGAGGAAAGAGGAGAAGGATAGAGACCACCGCCAAGTCTACAACGAGCCAGGTTTGAGGTACTGTACACAGTGGTATACTGGTATACAAGGGTGCACACGTCTTTCGGCTTCGTGGGTCCTGGCCCTTCGCGAGGCTCGCGAAAGCAGAACCCCAGGCGGAAGTCTCTGCGCCCTGGGATGAACTTAGAAGGATCATGACTTCCAGGATATGAGGGCCCGTTGGGGGGATTTTGCGGTTTTGGGGGGCAGATTTTGGCATGCGCACAGCAGCCCGGCCTCCAAATCGGCAAGGATGCCCTCCAAGCTGAGCTTCGGCTCAGTCCTACAGGGCTCTAAAGCTTTTGGGAAAGGTTTCTGAGGCTCTTGGGATTTAACCACTTTGGGTTGGGAACTGCTTGAGAATTCGCCTCAACCCCAGCCGCTGTCAGCCGTGCTTCAATGCTAGCACCCTTATTTTCTTTGCACAGTCGGGAAAAACTCTCTTTCCTCGTATCCAACTTTGAAAAGCCTCGGTTCCGTTTTTGTTGATGGGAAACGTCGGCAAGTTGTCTATGTTTTGACCATGAAAACTTCAAAGTGTACATAGGTGCTCTATGTTTCTACTATGAAAAAACGTTGTTGAAACTTTGTTGAATAGGAACACTTCTCATGTATTACGCTTTCACCGGAAAACCTTCAAGAAACAATAGACTAAAAACAATCAAGGCCTCTGCTTCCCAATCTTACCCCCCACCCACCGCAATTGGTGATCCGAAAAGTTCGTGAGCCCTCACACCCTTGTCTTTCGAGTTTCGGGGTTGCAGCCCTAATCAGCTACAGAACGATGAATGCATGCCCCGTCCATCTGCAAACATCAAAGAAAAAGAAGCTTGCTTTGGCTTATCTAACATGGTGGAGATGGAGAGGAGAAAAAACATGCAAAATAAAGATGAATATGGGGGGGGGGGGGGGAAAAGGGGGAAAGGGGGGAACTTTGAGAGTCCTGGCGGCCGGCGGCGCCGCCGGTGCCGGCGCCGGCTTCGGCGCCTCCTTGGGCTTCGGGGCCGAGGCCTTCGGCTTCGGCTCCAGGGCCTCGCCGCGAGCAGAGATTAGACGATTAGAGGCCCAAGCTTTCCATGAGTGGAGAAACCTTTGAAGGGCCTAGGAGAGAGTTTTGAAGGGATTTAGCAAGGGTAAGGGCTTGTCCAACTAATTTGGACCAAGACTGGTCTTACCTTGCCCGCATGCTTGAAGCAGAAGAAAATGGACGGTCCCCATGCTCTCTCGCTCTCCCTGTGTTTTTTTGTCCCTCTCTCTCTCTCTCTCTCGCTCTCTCTGACTCTCTCTCTCTCTGGGTCTATCTCTGTCCCTCTCTGTCTATCTCTATCTCTCTCTCTGTCTCTCGGTCTCTCTGTCTCTCTGTCTCTCTGTCTCTCTGTCTCTCTGTCTCTCTGTCTCTCTGTCTCTCTGTCTCTCTGTCTCTCTGTCTCTCTATCTCTCTGTCTCTCTCTCTCTCTCTCTCTATCTCTCTCTCTCTCTCTCTCTCTGTCTCTCTGTCTCTCTCTGTCTCTCTCTCTCTCTCTCTCTCTCTCTTTGCACAGCCATGGCGCGGGAGCCGGTGGTGGGGGTACGAAGAACTCGTCCTTTCGCAAAAAACACCACAGCTCGGGGGTCCTTGCAATACTCCTGAGCCAATGGAAAGTCCTCCTCTTCCGGCAATGCCCCACCCGAAGCACCACCTCGACCTGTCTGGAAAGGGCTGCTAGCTGCACTGCACACCCGTTGCATGAGGGCATGGAGAGGGCGATTGCCGAGTCAAGCGCCTTTTGCCTTCTTGGATTGGTCCTGGCAGAGCTGTCACTTGACTTGCTGGGCAGTCATAGGGGGCACCAGAGGCTTACTTGCAGCATGCTGGTTTGATTTGCATCTTGATTTAGGAGCCCTCATCTTTCATTCCTTCTGATCTCTCAGATGATGTACTCTTTCATGAGATTGAAATCAGTGTTAGTGGGCCTGCTTAATGGAATCTGGGCATGTGCAGTGAACTGTGTCAGATGGCAGTACTTGGCATGCTCCCATCCACAACACGATCACTACCGAACCCTCCAGGAACCGTCTCAGGCATTCTTCGCAAAGCCGCGAGCGCTCAGACAAACTGACTGAGCATAAGAGGTTCCGGTAGCGCTTTTGTAAGGAAGATCATTGCAACACTTGCTCACAGCAGACTTGACATACTCGAGGCTTACAAGCATGGCAGCACGGCAATCTCCACACGCTGCTCCTCTGCTTCCTGACAGGCACACTATGAAGGTCGTAGTTGAATGTTTCTGGGGCGTTTAGTCGGCAGTTCGAGGTCCCCCAAGACTCCAAGTCCAAATGAAAAGCTGGGACTGTTGTAGGCGGTGAACCGTTCATGTGAGGCTCGAACCCCATGTGGCCGGTGCCCTGTCAAGTTAGGTACTGCTTGCAGACCCTTGCGCCACTTTTACAAGTCGCTGCCGGCGCCGCTCGAAGGCCCCTATGGCGCTGCACCGCAGAAAGTCTCACGAGCCCTCACTGAGCCCTCACATTCCGGCTACTCCCCACCCAGCTCCCACAGCTTCAACTCCGAAGCCTTGAACACCAGCGTCCTAAACCAGATCACACTGACAATCTCGCTGCCCATGGCCCCATGGCCTCCCCAGCACCATAGCCACACCCGCATTCCTTGGCCAAGTCCTCACGGAGCAAAGCCGGGGGCACGCAGACTTTGAAGAACAGGCTAGCTGCGACTACCCTTCGACCGAAACGTGAGGCAGAAGTCAACTGGTGGTCCTGCCCCATCTTGCCGAGCGGCAACAAACTGGAAAGTAATGTTTGAGCCTCCCCTGAAAGCTATCGGTGGCAATGAATGTCCCTGCAGCTTAGTCGGCATATTTATGGAACGACCTTGAACGACCCTTTGGGTTCAGACATGACACCTTTGACCCTGCGGTTGCGCTGCCAAGGTTGGGAGTTGCAGCTCTGTGCTCTGTGCTCTGTGCTGTGGGCCGTGCCCACTAGGAACGTCGGCGATCTAAGGACCATGACCTCAACCAAGCGCCGACAGGGAATCGGGCTTGGCTCACGAAACCTCAGAGGCTTGTCATGGATCTGGCCTCAGAAGTGCGGTCATGCAGCGCAGGGGTGCGGGGAAACAGCTCGCCTAAGTCACTGCGAAGCCCTCTCAAAGTGCCCCTTTAAGAGCCCTTACCTGTCGTAGACCTGGGTGTGGTGCGTCACCTTTGGAGGTGACGAAGGGTCAAAGAAGGGGAGCGGGACATGGTAGGACTGAAAGTGGCTCGAAGAGGTGCTCTCAACGCCCGAAACATGAAGGGTTTCTACAGGGTTCTGATACGACCGTGAACATGGACTGAAGGTTCTCTGAAGCCGAAAAGCTGCGAATCTGCTGAAGCCCGGAAAGTTGGGCGCCTGTCCTGCTAGCGCACTCGCAGGCATCTCCTGGGAGCTATTGGCTCTTCTAATCCGGTGATAAGGTTCCCCAGCAAACACTCAAAATATCTCTCAATATCTCAAAATCTCTCTGAATATCTCGTAATATCTCTCAAGGCTGTAAGGCCCTTCACGTTCCGTCAAGATGTCTTTTTCGAGGTTGCCCATGCGCAGCGCTGACATCCATCTGCGAAACTTGACTTGGCTCTGGGACGACTCAACGTTTAGCCAGGAAGCTAAATTTCTGGGGTCTTAGGTGTCTTCATCACCATCCACATCCTGTCTAACAATGAGACACAATCTATGTCTTTATGTCTGTACACGTACATCTCTCATCATGGAGCGTCTGTCTTCCGCATCGCGCAGATGAGCCCTCTCACTTCTGAACCCTACCATGCACAACAAACACTTGGGTGAGACGAGTGGTACAACAGGGTATGACCGCTCCGGACAGGGCGTCAAGAGGCCGGACATCGCTTAAGTTTGGGGAGTTCTGGTGCGAGCAGAAGCTCTGGCACCTGATGGCACCTGCCTCCTTATGAACACGTGCTCAGCTGCTCCGGATGATTGAGGAGTGCATCTGCTTAAGATATGAGAGCATTGAATCATGGCTGCCAACAACAATCGATAAGCCTGTGTAAAAGCCGTCACGCTACAGCAGCCGTCTGCCTCTGGTCAAAAAGCTCCTCGCCAGCGAAACATGAGCCCGTGGATTGGAACATGTGGGGATGTGGGTTGTGCCAACTTCGGGTCTCTCTTCAGAATCCCTCTTTACAGGGGGTTTCAGCCTCTGCCATGCTCTACACTCCACACCTATGACCCCCTTGAGAGCCCTCAAGAACCTTGAGCCGAAAACAACCCTCAAACTGACTCAAACTGACTCAAACGACTCAAACTCTCGGGCTTTGCGGATCAGCACTCCCAAGGCCTGCAGTCTCGCCCACTTCTGGCGCCGGGCGGCCTCGCGCCTCAAGGCACAGAAGCACTTTCAAGAGGAGCCTCTCAACAGGGCGTCCCAGACGTTTGGGAGGGCTTAGCAGGGTTTATGGAAGGGCTTTTGGCTCTCTCCGGTGTTCTTCAAACTTTGCGCGTGAAATACCACAGCACTGGGATCACGACTGCTCCTCCTCGTCATAGGCTTCTTTGTGATTTGCAGAACCTGTGCAAAAAAATCGGCTGATCGAGCCTTGCACCTGTCCCCTTGCCGCAAGCTCCCCTCTCGTGAAGCTTTGCTTCCGACACTCATCAAAGAGCTGAGGGTCGGCTTCCATTAACCTCACAAGCCCAACAGAGAATGTAGGTTGATGGGAGCTGAGCGACTCACACAAGCCCATGGATGTTTTCGCTTGTCATCAATAGGGAAGCCCTGAGTGCCTGGGAGCTTGCTGCACACGCAAATGTAACAAACTGCCTTCCTTGCTCCTCCCTGCAAGTTGGCAATGAGCCAATATCTCGCACACTGACACTAGCCAAGGGCATCGCAGTTTAAGCACATTGAAGGTGAGGCCATGTACCGCACCTTGCACAAGTATTCAACATCCGAAAGAAGGCATTTGGGCATTTTGGGATGCGGCAACTTCGGTGTTCAAGACTTCTGGAAGCCTTCCGGAAGCAATGCCGAGGTGCTGTTCCAATGCTGCTTTGAATTCATGTACAAGGCTCCGATGACCACCGGGAAGAGCACCTGGCGAGAGGCTGGCGAAATCAGAGCTGGGTGACAGATGTTGGCAGAAAGTAATAGCCTTCCGGCTTGAGGTGATCAGCCGGACGATGTAGTCGTTGTTCCACAAGAAGAGCGTGCGCTCGGCCACCTTTCAGGCAAGACAATCCGGGCTTTCCAGTAGTTTCGGCTGCAACCACCCCAGCAGGCCCCTGGAGAGTCCGTCTAATGTTGGATGCAGGAAGAATGCCAGGAAGGAGGGGTTTGGTCCCTTGAACTTCAGAAGGCCGGTGGCCAGATTGCCCGTGGCACGGCTCTCCAAGACGGGGGCTTTTCCCAGGCGAGCTCGCCATGCTCGCTATGTTCAGGCTGCGCAAGCCGATGTAGAGTACAAAGCCCCGAGAAGCCGGTTGAGACGGAAGATCTGCTGCGGCTCAGTTTGCCCAGGTGAGCGGCTAGTGATTTCCGCCCAGCCAGAGCGGCGCCCAAGTGGGAGTTTTATGATTTGAGCCCACCCTTGTGGTTTCGGCTCTTAGTAAACAAAATGCGGGAGCTGCGGCTTTTGCAAGTCCGCGATGCTGGAAGCCCTTCAGTAGCAGATGCTACGATGCAGTAGCATGTATAAATGCAGTCCCAGTTGTGCCGTGCACGGTTGAACCGCAGCCCGCCACCAAAAACCACAACTACGCTGCCGCGGCTACCTTAAAGAAGCTTCCCCGAAGGCATGCTGTATGGCATTAAACATACACTAGTACAAGATAGAGGTTCAAGCTTGGTCATGGGGACCTACCCTGACAAGGTTGCTACGCTTCTATGGGCAAACCCTGATGCAGAACGACACCCCACGAGCCTGAAAATGAGGGCAGGTGATGCACAGGGCGAGTCTCTGAAAAAGCTGATCCTGACCAGGATCAGAGGGGCTGACAGCTGCAACATAAGTTTGTGGCTGAAAGTGCTGATCGTCAACCTCGCAACTACAGTCTGGAGAGAATAGCCATCCTGACGTGACTGCCTTTGGTAGTTTGGGCACATCAAGGTAATTCAGAGGGAAAGATGCAATAGCGCCCAATAACGCAAACGAATGAATAGCCACTGCTGCTTATGAGGGCGGCATAAGACATAAAGGCCAACTCCTGCCATTAAGCAAGGGCACAAAGCATCACCAAAATTAGGACACGACGTGGGCTCTTCGGCAAAAGGGAAGGGAAGAATACTTCAACTGAGCAAGGGCATCAGTTTTGGAATCCTGGTTTGGGTCGAACCTGTCCCCCGACTGGCTAGGAGCTATGAGGCATTGAAGTGACAAGCAGCACCTGGCGTCCAACACAAAGATTAATAACTTTTGAATCGATCCTCACATGTGTACACAGGAGCTCTCCACAAGCCCTCTGAAGAATCTTTGAGAGCATGGGTCTGTACACCAAGTCAACCTGATGACGCGACCTGCGGCCCGACACGTAGTTGATCCTTACTGCACCCCAACAAGACACCGTACTCGCTAAAGAATGAACAACATGGAAGAACCAAACAAACCCTGAACCCATCATACTTCAGCAAACCCCCACCTGCATCCGAACAAACTCGGGCGGCTTCGTCAACTCCAAGAGCTCCTCCAACTCGTTCAGGAAGAGGACCTTGGTTAACACTGATCCCGGTGATTAGCACCTGGTCGGGGCTACGTGCGGGCTGTGCCTCTTAAGAAAAAACCCTCAAACCCACCCTCCTTAAACCCCGCAAGCACCGAAGAGACATGACTCTGCCCTCCACCTGCTTGGAGGTAATCGTGGCCGGCCAGTATCTCAGCATGGAGGTGAGGATGACGTAGGCGAGCCGCGGGTCCTTCTCGACATACTGCCTGCAGAGATCTGCAGAAGCATCACGGGGTATCGCATGGCATCACATTCCATCACAGAGCATCACATGGCGTCACATGGTATCACATGGTATCACATGGTTAGCACATGGTATCACATGGTATCACGCGTCTTGGTATGATGTTGGTTGCGACTTAGACTCCTTGTTTTGAGAGGGCCGGAGGCCGGCTGCTGTGGGTGGTGCATTGTGCACTGAGCCCCGAGCGACATGCAGTAGGAGAGCTGCTGATGGAAGCTCGCAAGAAACTTCATCTTGTGGAGCGGGATTAACGCCTGCGAACACACCGAAGAATATGGAGTGAACACGCACACTTTCCATCGTTCCATCGGAGTCCAGTCGAGTCCAAGCGACGCGCACCAAGAAGTCCTGCTCAGGTCAGCCGAGTTTGGGTCAGACTTCAAGAGTCACCTTTGCTCGGAACAACACCAAGGCGTTCCTATGCGTTCCTTCCAGCTCTAGGACAGCTCTCAAACACCCCGAAACCGAAAATCACCTTGCAACCACGCAAAACCGAGACAAACCGTCTCTAAAAACAAACTCTGCGCCCGGTACTGTTAACAAAAAATTAATGTATGTATGTATATATGTATGTATGTATGTACGCATGCATGCATGCAAGTATGTGTACATCGATATATATATATATATATATATATATATATATATATATATATATAGTGCCCCCCCCCCCCCTCTGGTACCTACCTCTTCTAAGGCATTCCTTCTGATAAACGTGTTGGTTTGAGGGTTGCCCGGGGGTGGGGGGGGGCGGGGGGCAATACTCACGCGCCTGTACGATACACGTGCTAGTTTCAGGGTCGCGGGGTGGTGCCAATACTCGCACACCTGTGAAGATGCCAGGGAAAACTTTTCACGGAATCTTCAATCTTCAAGCTTCAACCTGAAAAACTTCTGGAAAATCTGGGGGCTCTCAGGACGCCCCTCTTGAGGGCCTAGGAATATAGGTTTGCGGAAATGAAAGATTTGGAGAGTAGGGCTCGATTCTTGGGATTTGCGGGCTCTCCTAGGGCCTCTCCTCTGAGGATTTCAGGAACCCTCTTTAGGGCTCAGAGAACAGCATTAGGGAAAACAGTTTAGTGAACAGGATTTATGGAACAAAGTTTACAGTAGGGACCCGGCTCCTTATGATTTAGCGAAAAGGGGCTTAGGGTTTAGGCCCGCTCTCTAGTTAGTTAGTTAATAGGATTTGGGGAATACCAAAATTAGGGAGTAAGATTTGGGGATCCCGCTCTTTAGGATAGAGCGACAACATTTAGGCAATAGGGTTGGTTGTTTAGGACTCTCGTCTTTATCGCGCCAGGCCGCGACGTTCAGCAGGGGAATGCAAATTGGCAGGTATGGGAAGGGGTTAGCTATATATATATATATACATGTATGTATGTATGTATGTATAAATATTCGTATGTGTATATATATATATATATACACATACGAATGAATAAATGAATAAATAAAAATAAACAAATAATACATATGAACTTATATACACGTATTATATATATATGTGTATGTATATACACGTATTATGCGGCACCTTGTGCTCCTCTTTCAGTGGCAGCGCAAAGCCGTTGATAATGCTCCCCAGGATTTCGAGGAGCTCCCCTGGGAAGGTGATCCGGGCGGCAACGCTTCATGGAGCTATAACCTATAGACATTTTTTGATGTAGAAGATACACATGTTATCAATCTATAGTGTGTATATATATACATATGCACACATGTATTTTCCAGTATCCTTCTCTGCAATGAGCCAATGACCGAGAAGTCGTCTATGAGCCCCCTCCTCTCGCTTGAACTTTAACAGTCGCCTGTCGTCTGTCGTCTGCAGATCTCTGCATTGTGTTCAATGATTCAAGTCCGAAGCTCACACCCGTCTGCTAACACATCTGCGTTCGTCCTCCTGCGTTAGCCTGCGACACTAAAATTCACTAGAGAGAGAGAGAGAGAAAGAGAGAGAGAGAGAGAGGGAGAGAGTGAGAGACAGAGAGAAAGCGAGAGAGAGAGAAAGGGAAAGAGAGAGAGAGAAAGATAAAGAGAGTGTCAGAGTAAGAGGGAAAGCGAAGGGGAGAGAGGGAGAGTGAGCGTGAAAGTGGGAGAGAGAGAGAGGGAAAAAAGGATAGAGAGAGAGAAAGACAGAAAGACATACATAGAGACAGAGACAGGAGACAGAGCCAAAAAGAAAGAGAGAGAGAGAGAGAGAGCGAGAGCGAGAGAAGGGGGGCTGACAGCAAGCTTTAGGATCGGGGACGCTCCCCCCATTACCAATACAGCATTCTCTACAGTCTAGAGCACACAAACTTCACACACTTCACCTTCACCTGGGGCAGGAACCGACACCATTGTGAATCTCACACTCGTAAAGTACCTGCAATCGGGCTCGGCAAGGTCTAGATCCTTAGAGCAAGGTTTAGGGTTTAGGGAGATACAAGTATATCCAACCACAGACTCTGACAGTCGCAGGCCTTGAAAAATGTGTTCTGGATGGCTCGGCGGATGAAGGCGCGCAAAGCCATAAACTTTCCGTAGATCCGATGCATGATCGTCTTGATGTAATCCTGGCGAAAATAACTCATCTCCAATGTCTCAAAGCAGCAGACAGGTTTCTGCAATCTCAAAGCATTGGTCCCGTTCTCGCGGGTCATCGGAGTCAAACAGCTCCAGCCTCCGAAAATATCACAATCGGACAAGCACAGCTGTGGTTGGGGTCCCGGAAAGTCTGCAAAGGTCTAAAGGATGCCCGCGCACATGTGTTGATGATGGCTGAGAGCCCGGCATCTGCGAGACAAAATTGGTGTCCAGGGAAAGCTTCGCCACCTGCGATCAGCAGTGGACCAGTGGAGTGCTGGTCCTGCTTGAACTAAGCCATTCCCCCACTGGCTCCAAGCAAGACACCTTCGGATCGACTTCATTGGAGACGACCTCTGTGCGGCAGAAGTCTTTTCGGCAAACATGACTTTCGTCTACCCTGGTCCACCCACACTCACCCACACCGCCTCACTACAATGTCTCTTCAACACGAGCGGTGTGATGTGCGTTGGACTCAAAAAGCAAAGATTGCGCAAGCCACTCAAGCCACCGACGCTCCAAAGTTGACAACTCGGACTGAGCCCCGGACGAAGCGAAGAAAGAATTCATAAACGATCTGCAGGTGCGGCCAAGTTTTTTCGAGCACAGGCTCCTCAACGCAGGCGGACAAGACGTTTGCAACACAGATTCACCGAACAAGCTACAACCACCCGTGGCCTCCTCATCAGGATCAGACAAAGACATCAAAGAGCGGTCCTGTGCGGGCGAGGGATTGGATAAACAGGTCTAAACCTATGCAGTCCAGGCGAAGATCTCAAAACCGACAAGAAGTCAAATTCATGTATCACTCCTTCGGAGTTCTGTTGCAAGTCAATGTAGGAAATATCAACTGCGTTCAATTTCACAAGCAGGTGCAAGCCGTGCTGCAAGCCCTTCTTCTTCTACCGGCTGGGGGGGCCAGGAACAGCGGTAAAGCATGAGCTCGGTAGCCCACAACGAGTGTCACAAAATCTTACCCGCATCTACGACCTATAAGCCACGCAGCAAGCTGATGGCCAAACGGGACATGTCACTCCTTACTTGGGTTGGCGGGTAGAACTCAATCAGCCAAAGTGAAATATCTACAACATTGCCCGACAAACATCATGTGAAACATGCTTGCCCAAAACTTCGTGGAGTTGAACATCGGCTTTGCGTCACTACAAAACGGCTTTGGTTTTCTCTAGACAGCTCTTTCTATAAACAAATACCGCCACTTGTCCAAACACGGGTGCATGTTCCTTCGCCGGGAGTGCCCTAAAGATGTTCGAGGCGACCATCTTCACGATGTCCGGGATCAGGGACTCGTGGAAACAGCTCCGTGTGCTATTCACCTGGCATTGCCAGTCAGGAACACTGAAGTTGTATGAGCTGTTGCAACGCCGATTTTTGCAGCAATCGACATGAGATCAAACAGCTTAGCAGTTTAGCAAGTCAAGACCAGGCAGGCGAACATACTCGACGAGTTCAAGCAGCGTTTGTCTCTTGGCTTCCTTTGCTTTCATGTCGGTCCTCAGTCGGCACGACGGGTGTCCCAGGCGGCGTTCCAGTTCGAATGCCCACGAGGACATGCAAAAACTGAAGCCTGTTACTTGACTGGGCCATGTACTCAGAATTGAAGTCGAAGACCACGCAGCAGGCCTCTTCAGATTCACAATATACGGAGCGTCGAAACCACATCAAACCCACAAGGTGCCTGCAACTTTCGTTTGAAGAGCTCCGGCCGGTCACAAGGGCGCTCATCGTGGAGCTTGGGCCTCACATCTCGAAGAGGCTGTAAACGACCTCCCCATTGTAAGGGGCCTTCGGCCGCCTGGGGTCGTGCTTAAGGTGTACAGGGAGTAAGCTTAAAGTCACAAAGATGCCATGTTTTGGTTCGGCTGTGCATCTCACACACATCAACCCTCCCAGACTCAAGCCCTGGGACGCTGGCTGAATCCAACACGTGAGAGGATAAAAACAGTTAGAAGCATCAGCAAACTGCAAACCACAAGTCCCCTCCCTGGGCTGCACTGACCGAAACGGCACGTCCTAAGGAGGCTGCAGCGCGCTGAAGATCGCCTCTCCTTTTGCACCGCCTGCAGCAACGGCGAGCAAAAGCCATGTGTGTTTTGGTTCCCGGACGCATTACTAGTCTTGTGGATGGAAGGACTTCTCGCGCTCAAACATCGCGCACAATGCATGCAGACCACACAGCCAAAACTTGCCAACACTGTTCATCGCCAACTGCCTGGCCGCTGGCTGAGCGCCTGCGAATCTAAGACTTTCCAGTCGTCCGCACTGTGCAATACGCTTTGCACTGTCGAGTGCATGCTCGTTGCTCATGGCAAACAACCAAGCTAGCATTAATGGAACAGCCAGTCAACTCCATCGCTTGCAAAAAGAATCGCCAACTGCAGTGCCTCAGGTGCAGAAGAAACCTCAAGCCAAAGCAAATCAGATGCAACCCTGGCTAGGATGAGCCGCTAACGGGACCAAACCTGAGGTAACGGCAGGCTCTGAAGCCGGATGCTGAGATTCCTGATCGTTGCACGACGCTTCATTTTGAGAACTATTGCATTCATTGCATGCCATGTAAGAACGCCTCGAACAAACATTGTCCATTCAAAATGCTGCGAAGCCGAACTGCAAGGCATTTGCCTCATTGTTGATCCGGCGCTTGACGGTCTGGATCCCCTTCATGGCCACACGCTGCCCAGTGGCCTGCAACTCATGAGAAAGATCAACAAATCCCAATGACCGACTGCGCCATGCATCCCACTGGTCATGCCAAAACTGAGCCTTGTCCCACTCACGTTGGGAGCGACATGTTTGGGAAACCGACAAGCTTGGAAAACGGCGGCAGGCAACAGGCAATGTCAACTAGTAGCCAGCAAAAAATAAATGTATGTCATGCATACAGCAAACTGACTCCTCCAATCGCATGTGCCGAATTGATCCATCCCACAGCCTTGCCCGTCATCTTTTGCTTCCGTATTCAAAGCATCAATGCAAAATGATCAATCCAAAGTAAAATCAATCCAGCGAAATATGACTCGACATGGACATTTGCGCCTCAATGCAATAAAAAAATGCGACACTTGCTCAATTCCCGGCACGACGCACAAAGAAGGCACACATGCGCAAGATTCAACGAAGCAACCGACGACGACGACGACGACGACGACGACGACGACGACGACGACGATGACGACGACGACGACGACGACACGTACAAAAAACTCCTTCTAACTGTAGACTTGCCAACTTGAGAACAGTCTCGAGCGTCAAGATTGGTCCTTGCACCAAGCAGAAAATCTGACAACAGAAAGTTGTGGAACCTGCTACCAATAGGAAAAGGTGTTGGCACAGCCACGACGACTACTATGACTGCTACCACGACTACCATTACCACGACCACCACCGGCTACCACGACCCAAGGACAACTGCGAAGTCACTCGCGCGCGTGCGGCGCCTGGCTACTTCTAAGGGTGTGAATGAACTTACTGCACGCTCAAATCCTTACCAGCTGAGAAGTTGAAGGTTCTGCTTTGTTGGGTTCCCTGCAGCGGCTAGCAGGAGGCCAGGCCATCAGTCTTGAGGCCTGTGAGGCCTCTGGCTCCCTGAAAAATGGCATTGGAAGGTCTTGAGCGCAAGCTGCCGTCGAGCCCAGCGGCCTGCAAGCGGCCTGGGAGCCCTGCGGTGTGGTGATAAGGCGTGGTGTCACCTAACCGGCCGGGTGCTGTGGGAGTGTTCCTGGTGGGGGCGAGCATGACCCAGTCCCGCCACTAGTATCCCATGCCCTGGCCAGGGTTACGGATCCGGCTGTCAAGATCCGAGGATTGGTCCCAGTTGACCGGGCGCGTGACTAGTTTTGACAAATCTGGCGCGAAAGGACAGCCAGCAACCACCGCAATATGCGGCCACTGCACCATGGGACGGTTCTAGAAGGGGGCTTTGTCCCTCGACGTAGCATCATGCAGGGTGGTCCGCAACGAATCCCTGCAAGCCAACAAATCACATGGCTCAGCCTTTGCTGGTGCTCACTTTTCGCCTCTGACCTGAACATCCAGCCTGGGTACTGTCGTCGTGGGTGAACGCGAAGTTCAAGAAGTTGGTCTCTGCACGGTTGTACGATCTTGGTGTCAGGCTTCTTAAGGGCACGAAAAGGCCCTCTCATGCCTCCCTCAGCGGCCTTTTCCAGCCATTGTTGGTATTCTTCCCGCTGCTCTTTGCGGTAGGCGGAATCCATCTCGTGGTTTTTCGCAAGGAGCAGCACACGGACGGCTGAGAAGGTGCTTGAGAAAAACCTTGAAGCCGGCCTCACTCAGGTATCCCGCCTGAGCGCTGTTTGCCCAACTTACTAGTCTTCGTCAGTACCCCGCATGCCCTCCCACGGGTGGTCATTCGCCGTGGAAGGGATCAGCGGTGTCTCTCCCTTTACGCCATCCGAGCACGTCTCAAGCTCTAGCCAGTGCATGAAACTGCCCCATGCAACATCAGCCGGGTCAGTGCTGGGAGGTTCACAGAGCATGCGTACAGAAGCAGGATTACGCGCAGGAGGGCTGGTTTATCCACAAGCATTCCTTTCAGAGACCATGTTATCTGTAGATTTGAGTAGATTTCACGGTTCTAGGCTCTACGGGGCATAGATGAAAACAGATGCGCACGTATGCTTTGAAGCAAACTTGCACGACTGAAAAAAACACCCCCCCGTTTGCACGCAAAATGCTCGCATCATGGTTTTCAAACATATACGTCCACTTTGAAGCAAGCTTAAAAAGCGGGGGGTTGCGGCCGCCCCCCCCCCATTTGCGCACACAATGCTGGCATCATGGTTTTCCAGCATGCTTTGAAGCAAGCTTGCAGGGAGTTGGGGTGGGGGCGCAGCCTGCCCCATTTGCACACACAATGCTGGCGTCATGGTTTTCGAACAAAAATCGTGTGCTTTGATGCAAGCTTGCACGATTTAAACAAGCAGGGGGGCTGAGGGGCGCAGCCTCCCCCCATTTGCACACACACACACACAATGTTGACATCATGGTTTTCCAACATATACGCGTGCATTGAAGCAAGTTTGGACGGGGCTGGGAGGGGGGGGGGGGCTTGCCCCATTTGCACACACGATGCTGTCATCATGGTTTTCAAACATATACGTCTGCCTTGAGGCAACCTGGCACGATTTAAAACAAGCGGCGGGGTTGGGGGGACGCAGCCCCCCCACCCCTATTTGCAGAGACACTGTTGGCATCATGGTTTTCCAACATATACGCGTGCCTTGAAGCAAGCTTGCACGACTTACAAGCGGGGGGTTGGGGGCGCGCGGCCCCCCCCATTTGCTGCATACACACTGCTGGCATCATGGTTTTCAAACATAATATACGTGTGATTCTAAGCTGTCACACGGTGCGTCTTCCAGGTTAGCGGGAAAACCGATTAGAAAAGTTACTTTGCGAGAAAAGTGGCTTTTCGAGAAAAGTGGCTTTTCGAGAAAAGTGGCTTTTCGAGAAAAGTGGCTTTTCGCGGACGCGGCGCGCACCAACGCGCAAGAAAAGCCACTTTTCGCAAAAAGTTGCCTTTCGAGAAAAGTGGCTTTTCGAGAAAAGTGGCTTTTCGAGAAAAGTGGCTTTTCGCGGACACCGCGCGCTTCAACGCCGCGAGAAAAGTCACTTTTCGAGAAAAGTGGCTTTTCGAGAAAAGTGGCTTTTCGCGGACACCGTGCGCTCCAACGCCGCGAGAAAAGTCACTTTTCGCAAAAAGCGGCTTTTCTAGATCGCTTACACCAAAACGTTCTAGAAGCTATTTGGTCGCTGGCGCAAGCGGTTTGATGCAGTCTAGAGGATTTTGACCAAACTGCTCGCGCCGCAAAGGGTTTTGACCAAATAGCTGGTGTCAAAAATGTCCAAAACTGGCTGCGTTTCAAATGGCTCACACCCAAAAACCCGAAGATTATAGCGTGCTAGATGCTGTGTAGGGATTTAACCACATAGCTCGCGCCTGACCAAAGTAGCTTGCGCCGACCCCTGTTTGTGCGAAAAAAGCGTGTCAAAACATTTCTGCGTTTTGGTTGCTCATACCAAGAAACCCTTAAGAACCCTTAAGAGCTATTTGGTCGCTGGCACGTTTGATGCCGTTAAAGGGTTTTGACCAAATAGCTCGGTTTCAATGACTGGTGCCAAAGTGAGCTCACACCAAAAAAAGCCTTAAAATCATAACATGCTTGATGCTGATTAAAGGGTTCTAACCAAATAGCTCGCGCCTGATCAAAGAGCTCGCGCCACTTTTTTTTTTAAACGGGCACCTCTTTATACATCAGCAACACTGTAGGTCGGTCTTGTGGGACTCTCAACAAATGGTGAAACAGACGTCTACGCAGGCCGAACAGCGGCAAAAACAAACCAACGAGCAAACACAACTGAGACAAAGAAGAAAAGGTTGAGTCAGTGAACCCCCCCTTTCTTAACTCACAAAGAAGACGATGTAGGATCCTTCCGAAGAAAATGCATAATGATCCCAGAACTGAGCACATTTTGCAAAATGCGGAATAAGGCATCATAGGCGTGGAAAGTCACCACAATGGCACTTCGAGAGAAGCTTGAGCTGCTGGCAAGTAAGTCTGTACAAAGCAAACCGGCAGTGACACCACAAGAGACTCCAACCTGCGCATCCTCCAAGAACACCCAAAGGCAGGTGATCACGAGAGAAAAGGCAACTAGTGGTCACAGGTGCGCAAGTAGTTACACGCTGCGCGTGCATGACAATTACCAAATGGGCAGGCGCCTGAAGTTCAAACAGGATAAGTCAGCGGGCGCGGAAGATGCTCTGCATTGGCTCAGTCCCATCAAGTTCAATCTAATCAAAAAGTGTTTTTCTTCACGGTGCTTTGTTTGTGCCATTCCACAAACAAGCTGCCCTAGTTCTTGCTGCCAACGGATACAGCATTGAGGAAACATGTAGAGCCAGAATGAGTCACCCTATAGTTGAAGCTTACATCAGTTTGGCTAATGAAAAGCCCAATGATCTTCAGGGTTTTAGCGACGTCTATACTAAAAGGCTGTTGCGGCCATTCCTGCAGATACTCAGTACAGTCTTCTGCTCAATATTGATTGCAATTGCGCTAAATGCCGGCAGCCTGAGCCGGTCGTTGCCTTGCCGCTACATTGTTTTAGCGATTCTCAACGGCAACCCAATCTACTTGCTGAGATTGGGCAGCTTATTGAACTCGCTATCTCGCAGGTGCAGGAAAATTGCAGCCCTCGTAATGAGTCACGCTTCTTGCATATTAGAAGCCTTCCAAATTTCTTCTGTGTTCTGACACAGAAGGCCGAGGAAAACAAACTTGCTCTGATTTGCAAAAGCGAAGATGACCTCGATAAGTTCCTGGGCAGCACCATTCAGGTGTTACAGCAAACCTATCAGATAATTGCGCTAGTGTTGCATGATCCTGTTGCGATGCACTATCTTGTTGCGCATCACGCCAAAGAACAACGAGGAGACTCCGTTTTCCTCTATGACTCGATTCAGGGCGTTCAGAGTAGGGACATTTGGGCCACTCTCCTCAGCCGTCCTGAACTTCAAATTGAAGCCATCCATATCAGGAGCGGACACATCAATGCGCTTTATCCTGCGGTGGCATTGCTAAACTCCCTTCCTGAAATTATTAAGCACCATGCGGAACCTGAAGAAATAATGCTCCACCAGCCCAATAGCTCTCCTGTACGGGAACCGGATCAGCATCCGACCCGAACTGCTTCAGCAGGCGAGGGCAATCCTGCCCTTGCTAGCTTGAGGGAAGCTGCGAATATCCATTATGAAAAAACCCATACAATTGGAGAGGGGGAGAGTAAATCGCACATTTCTGATCAAGCTGATAAACGCAGTGACGCTGAACAGGGAAGTGAGGCCAATAGTGATCTTAGCAAACCTGTGCCTGGTGTACAGATTGTGCCCAAGCCCCTGTCCCAAAATGTTCCCAAAGTTGCGCCAAAGCCATTGGCTTTGGAAACCGGAGAGACCAGTCCTGGTCTTCCGAATTGTGTTCAGTCTACTCTTGGGGGTGAGATCAATCCTGATCTTGCCAGTCCTACTGGACTTGATTCTAGGGACTCTGGCCCCCGAATAAAACAGGCTGAATTGATTCCGACGACCCACGAGGACAAAGAGACTAGTTACTAGTTCTCGGCCCATTGTAAGTACACACATGGATACGCCGACTGAACCCGAAGTCTTTAATATCGGAACAGATGATGAAAGCGACGCGCAGCCACAAGCTTACACCGAGCAGAGTGAGGAGGTACAGGCTGTCTCTGTCAACCCAAAAGTTCACATTCAGCCTGCCAGTAGCTGCAAGGCTAAAACTTCCTTGCGAACGCAGGCTGGAAAAACAAAAAAGGGCAATGACAACCAATCCCATCCCAAGCTTGATGCGAGGAAAAAGAACAGTCAATCAAGCAATAAAGGGAACAAAGTTCCGAGAACACTTCAGGAAGAGAGCATTCAAGTTGCTCTTGGTGCTTCAAGGTATATTGTACTCTCGCTCTTCGATGGATGCGGAATTTCAAGAGCTGTCATTGCTGAAGCGCTCGGTCAGCAACCTGTTGCTGCACTTACTGCTGAATCGGATAATCTCCTTAGAGCAATCATTTGTCACAAGTTTGACTATGACAAGGCTCAAAAGTGGGCATTGGATGCGAGACAAGTTCCGTCGATTGCCGTCGACGATGTCTGGTCCATTGTTCAAGAGGATGGCCTTATTTTGAAGCAGTGCATTGCCTTTCTGGGCAAAATTGAGCCTGGTAGAACGGCGGTGATCATTCCTGCAGGATCACCTTGCCAAGACCTTACCACTGCTGGTTCAAGTTCTGGTGGTTTGGGGCTCATGGGCGATCGCTCTCAACACATGTTAGTTATCTACGCCATTTTGCTTGTCCTCCAAACCATCGACCCCCTGCTTCTTGAATGCGTTCACGTTGTTCTCGAGAATGCGGGATCCATGAAAGCAGTTCACAAAGATTTCATAATGAAAATCTTTGGAATACCTGAAAAGTGCTGCCATATGATTGCTGGTTCAGAGCTTGGACACGTTGAAAGAAAGCGCAATTTCTTCACCAGATATCAAATTATTGGCAACGTCGCCCTGTTGCCGAATGTTCATGGCACGTCAGGGAACGAAAGCATCATTCGGCTATTGCAAACAAGAGACTCCGGCGAGCCCGCTGAAATGTGGCTTCGAGCAGATTGGCGAATAGGTGG